CTTCTCTTTTTTCCCTCCACCTCTTTCTCACTTTCCCTCCTCGATTTTGCGTTGCTCGTTCGGCCGCTGGTATCGATAATGAGCTGAGTTTGGAGAAATTCGCGATTGCATAAGACGCGAAAAGCATCATCGAGGTGTGATGAGAGTGTTTGAGAATATGTCGAGAATTCCCCGAGAAGCACAACGGAGACCTATCGTAACGTTAGAGTAAAATAAAATAGTTGGAATCAAATAAAAGTCTCAAATGTCCCAAAATAAAAATGGGCATATTACAGAAGACAAATGAAAAGTCGTGGGAAGACACAATCGAAGGCAAGAGTCGAGAGAAATCTTGGCACCTCGTGGAGTGTCAGTGATTGTTACTTACGGACAACAGGATTATGTCGAGGAATATGTTGCTACGACCTACGATCGAATAAGCGATTAACACTGTCTACTAATGAAAAAGAATGCGCGTTTCGGGAGGTGGCAACTCCAAGAACAAAATGCTCGAGAGCGAGAGAGTCACGAAACTTGCGAGCTTCGTTGAGATTAAATAACCGATCTAACTCCTAATTTTTACCAGGAGTGCAAGTCAACTCTTCCTTTTCACCTGATACTTTGATCATCATCAAAATTGGATTCATGGATCGTCTTCGTGGAAGATCGAAGGAATCGTTTCTCCTTCTTTTTATTCTCTTCCTGCAAATTTGCGCGATCAAACGTGCGCGAGCCCGCGAACCCCGCGATCTGCCGCGAGTTGAAAGACTCGCCGGTCCCGATTTTGGCATGTCATTTTATATGCGCGATATTAACTGTAGTTGTCGGGCCTGTTATAATTACACCGTAATTATGCCTTTAGTCGCGCGGTCGCGCAACTCGAAGCGAAAGGGCCGAGAAGACGAAGGAAGGGTGAAAGGGAAGTCGGCGGCGGGTGCGGCGGGGAGCGACGGCCACTGTGTGGTCCACAGAGCGCGTCACACCCACGCGTGTTAGCAGCAGTTAACGTCACTCACGTCGGCCATGCGATTTATGCGGTGTCGCGGCGCCGCGCCGATTTCTGGCTCGCGAATTGCACGTAATTATGCAGGAAGGAATTAATTCCGGAATTGAAGAGTACGATCCCGAGGCTCGCGCGCACCGGCGCGCTCGCGAACATTTCGGTTCTACTCGCGCCTGTCTCTCTTGCTCTTCCCGTCCTTCTCCTTCCTCTATCTCTCTCTTCTCCCCTTTCCATATTCAACCCTTCGAAATATTCAAATATATATTTTTATGTAGGCAGAGCGTGTGTACATGTGTGTGTGTGTGTGTGTGTGTGCGCGCGCGCGAGTTAAAATTAGCAGACGAAATAGACGACAATATTCTCCGCGCGAGATGTCTCCGTCTCTGTCTCTGTTAATGAAAATGCTGAAGCGTAAGTAATTTAGCCATCTCTCCCTCCTCTCCCACCTCATCCTCGCCGAGAGCGAAGAATTTTTCTTTTCGGAATTAAGCTGCACTTTCGAAAATGAGTAATGGGGTGTGTATCGTTGAACGGTCGAATCGCAGTGATCTTTGTTTCGCGTGGGAATTCCAATTTGAAGTTTAATTAGTGGGATATCGAACGTCGAAGTTTTTGCCCAAGGAAAAATTTACCTCAAATTTCGCACAGACGAGCGAGCTCGTCTTCTTGCCTTCACCCGCGCGACTCGTCCCGCGTGAGCGCCGATGCTTGGAAAGAAACATGAGAAAAAAAGCAAGCCGAAATAATGGAACCCGACCTCCTTTTTGCATAACAATCCGATTGCGTTGAAATATGAATAATCTCGTTTCGCGCGCGCGCGAATCGATCCTCCTACGACCGCCGAGAACGATCGGCGGCGGGCTAAAAAAAAAAAAAAAGATAAAAGAGAGCATTGTGCGCAATGGCGTCACCGGCTATATCCGGACTGGAATAATCGCGTCGAATAATATTATCATACAATGGCGTTTCGTCGCGCGTACAACCTGCAGTTTTGCGAGGGGGCATTCTCTCTCCCTCTTCTCCACCCTCTCTCTCTCTCGGATTGGCAAATCGTTGCGCGTGGACAATCGCGCGCTTGGGTAATCGCGTCCTCAAAAGGCATGCACGCGAATTAGGTATTAAAGTGAGGTATTAAACTGATCGCTGGTTCGCCTCATCGAAATGGCGATGCAGTCGCTTCGATGAGCTGAGAGATGCTCGATCTGCGCGCTTCGTTCTACACGCGGCGACGGATCGTCTCTCCTGTCGTCAGAAAGCCCTTTTCCTCGAAAGGAGAAACCGACAAAGATCCCTTTGAAAACTTGGAAATATCTGTACACCGCGAGGGCGTATCGGATTTAATAGCATCGCCCCAATTACAGATTCTCGACTATAAAGTCGATTTTACGATAACGAGAGTTTCGTCGGACTTTCTCGGCGAACTTTCGCGAGTTTTCGTATTTCTAATTTTCGTGGCGCGCGCGTGAGTGAAGCGCAGCAGAGGCCCTTCGATGTTCGTCTCGAGAAACGAAACGACCTGGCGGACGAGGAAAGCGCAGAATAAATAAGCTCGATCGTTAAAGAGAAGCAAACAGCCGGCGGCCGCGTCTCATGGGAAGTCAAGGAGTAATCGAAGAAAATGATTTAAGCGAGGCGAGAGAGAGAGAGAGAGAGAGAGAGAGAGGGGGGATACATGCCCGCACATTTAGCACACGTGTGAACACGCACGAACGTACATACGCACGCACGGCCACGGCACCGGGGATCAATTCGAGACGCGTATTGCGGCGTTTATGCGCGTTTACGCCGCCGACCGAGCGTACCACGCGGCGAATCAGGGTCGAATGCAAAAGCGACCGAGGAAATTGCTCGACGAACTTTTCCCATCGATCCGAGCTCTCTCGGTAATGAAAATTTCCCCTTGCCGGAGGAATTTTCACGAGCGACAATACACGCGCGGTCAATTCTATCCGCCGCTCTAGATCGCGATTGTCCTCCGTTACGAGCGTCAAGAATGTGTGCGATTATGCCGAATAACTTCTCTCTCTCACAAGTAGCTAATCTTCGACTTTCTCGAGCATGTACGAGTGTGCCTATCTAAGAAATCAAATACATCGAATCGCCCACCGTTTCAACTTGGAACATTGCATTGAAATTTATAACAGCGTTCATTGAGACTCGCACGATGCATGGAAAGAGACAAGGAAATAAATCGAGCGAAATTATGAAAAACAAGCAAACTGAGAGTCACAATTAGAATCGTCGAGGCTCTAAGACGCACAATCAAGAAAGAAATAAACAAAGCCGATAAAGCCTGACCTGCTCCTTGCTTCCTGTTTCTTTCTCCTTTTACCTCTCTCTGCCTGACTTAAAGCTTAAGCCAGAAAAAGGTAGAAAGCAAGGAACAGGAAGCAAAAGAGCACATTGTAGATCAGGTTTGAGAGTCAGCGCGAGGTGTGTTATTTGCACGAATGTCTATTTAATTGATACGATTAAGCGGAAAGAAATATGGAACGGGTGTTTGCGCAACGTAAACCGTCCACGGCTACAGCAGGGACATCGTTCCCACGTGCGGTGGAGCGTGGAATCGTGCGCGAGGTGCGCGAAACCGCAGTTACTCGTGTCTCGGCGAGTTACAACTAACGCGTAAGTTACAGCGAGCCACGCGGGCGCGGGCATTGCGAATCGCGGGCGTGTTATCGGCGCTATTAACCGCCGGCCACTTCGTCGTCGTCTATCTAAATTGCTTTCTATATTAAAGCAAAACGCATTCCTGCGCTTTATTATTGCCGGCCGTAATGACGCAGGCCCGCGACCAACCCCATTCCCTTCTCCCCTTCTTTCCTTCCACCCTCTATCGTTTATTGCCACCTTCGACTCTCCGTCTCGACCTCCACCGTCTACTCCTCCTCGCGTTGCCACCTCCCGCGGTCTCGTTCACGAGGTTGTTGACGACGACCGTCGTACTCCGCCGCCGTATTGTTCTGCGACTGTAACACCTAGGGGTGAAACGGGGGATATCGATCTCTCCGAGGGTCGCATCAAAGGACCGGAGATGATCGTCCAAAGCGAGGCCTCGCGGATCTCGCGTTTCTAGGACGGGTCTCGTCACGTCGCCCGCAGACCCGCGGCAATTCGAGCGGGACAGCGTGACCGTGAACTTGGCGGATCGGGGCGACGAGCCCCGGGGGACGGTCCGAGGGAGGGGATTTCCTCTCGAACGGAAGGGATGATCGGCCGTTGCGCCGCTACTTACGGAAACCGATCGAGCATCGCGCGCGGCAGATACACACAGCGGCGGATCATGCGAGAGATATATTGCAGGAGAGGAATGTCAAGTCTTTAAACGTGTCGCGAAATCGATTATACGGGGTGTCTCCGTCCGACTCGTACTCTCGTTTAGCGACAGACGCTGCGCGAGTGATCGAAGAATTTTGAATCCGAAGAGACACGACGATTTCGCGACGTCGCGAGCGTGGAGAATTATATAATTAATCGTTTCTGCGACTTTCAGCAACGTGGACAAGCATGTCTTGCGTACTCCTACGTGAAGTATCATTTATCCTTTTTGTCTGCGCCTCCCCGTCAATTCACACGTGATATATTGATAGGCATAAATATTAGTATTGATTTTCCACTAACGATACTATGCGACCGAGTCTCGAAAAATAAGGAAGGGAGACGCACAAAATACTGGAACATCATCACTTTCTACGGTGCGCGGCGCGTAAACGGTTAATCTTAATTCTCCGTGATTCCGCCGTATCTTTCTCCCTCTTTCTGGTCCGCGAGACGCGATTCGTCCTGGTTACTCACGTAGCGTCTATACGTAAAGGGAAGTGCGCGGCTGGTACAGGGGAGACACCCTGTGCATAGAAATAGGCGATCAGACGATGAACGTGTGTGCGCATTGCCTAACGTTGGAGGCTTGCACGTCCGGCCCGGGGGGGCGCGGGGGAGGGGGGACCGTCGAGAGGCGATTATCTCCTGAAACGTATCGAAACGAGACGAAGAGGAGAAAAACGATGTCGGGACTCACCTGCTATACTGGAGGTGGAGGCGCCGAGCCAAGCGTGGGACGACTCCAACAACTTGGCCTGAAACAGAAAAGTTCGGGTCAGACGTCAGCAGCGTGCCGGTACGATTAGCGGCCGGATTTAACGGCCGACCGGGGAAATGACTTAATCCTACGGACTTCGCCGGACGGGGGTCTCTTTCTTTGAGCGCGCGACGACGAAAAAGGAAAGAAGTCGGTCACTAGACGGAATGATTATTTAATCGGAAATGACCGGCGAGAAAAATTGAAGATATCCTGATCGCCGTCGCGAGAAATGCCAGGTATTATATAATATGCGCTTAGGAGTTCTACAGAACGCAAAGAGCGTACTCGAATCTCCATTTAAAAATCCGTTCGTTTCCTGAAAAGAAAAAGAGAAGAAAGGAGGAAAGGAGGAAAAAAGGGAACGCTTCAATTATCGAATCGCTCGGGGCTCGGTTAATTACCGTTTTCCTTTCGGTCGCTGAAAAATCTCGCGAAAGAGGCACGACCCGGAAGAGACGGGGAGAGATCGGAGGAGCGGAAGTCGGGAACAAATAGGCGAGAGATGTGGGTGTATGTGTGCGTGTGTGTGCATGTATATGTGATGTAATGGCGCGCTATCCTCTTTTTCATTTGGCAGCAGGGCGGAAACGTTGTAACGCACGCGATTCGGCCGATGCGGTTGCCCGGCGGTGGTGTTTCGGCGGGCGACGCGCCGGATAACGCGATTTTCCCAAAATTTTCCGGGGCACACCGGCGGACCGGAAGGGAAAAATCGCGCGCACAGCGGAAAACGCCGGGGTAATCGGTGCTGTTCATCTCCGCCGACAACTTTGCTAATATGCGAGGCTTTCCGGCGTTCGCGAAAGGGGTTCGCGAGACGCGGCCACCGAAAGCGCAAGACACACGCAAAGTTGGCTCATTTGAAAAGTTTCGTCCTCCCTCAGCCTCACCTCTCCTATCCCTTTCTCTCTCTCTCTCTCCCTCTTTCACGTTCCACCCGCTTTCGGATTTCGCGATTTCCGCAATATCGCGGGGAGAGACGCGTAAACCGACCGCTATGCTTCTCGTATACGCCGTGCTTCCGGGCTCTCGCCTGACTTTTCAAATTAATTTTTAAGGGTCGCTCGATGCGCCTCGATCAAACCCTTCCGCTCCCCTCCCTCGTTTCTTTCATTTTTTTGTTCGCTCTTTCTCCCGACGCGCGTTGGTTGCGCTGTGCGAAAACTTTTTCGTCGGGCCGCAAACAGCCTTCGCTTGAAGGACGCTCGTGTGGAAAAGCTTCTCGCTACGTGTCGACGGATCTTTTCCTTTTTTTCTCACTGTCTATCGAGGATACATTTTTCCGTTAAATGCCGAACTGAGAGAACAAAAGAGGAAGAAAAAGAGAATGTTCGACGTTATCAAATTGTAATTTCTTCATTAAGCCTGTAAGAAGAGTTATGAGTAAACGTAAACTTCATTTCCAGTCTTCTCGGATTTTCAGTCTGAATTTCAGACGCATTCGCCGCAACACCGTCTCGAGTCGATTTCCACTCGAAATCTCGATTTCGATTTCCACTCTTCCACAAGTAAATCTTTAATAATTAATATGATTTTATAAAACAGGATTAACACGGATAAACGCGTATTAATTAACACGCTACTGATGAGAATCATTTTATATTTCCAGAGTCGCCGAAATATTTCACCATATAATGTAATATAACGCACAATAACGGAACAGAGTATACGACGCATGCGAGACTACCAAAACAATTGGCAAAAAGTGTAAACTTATTCCCTACATCAATAGTCAACGCTTCTCATTCTGAGCGTTGAGTGATTACAACATTCCAGGCAAGACAGTCCAACCTTCAAGCGGTCAAACTATCTCTGCGCGTCGCGCGTTTTTCCACCAAATGTTTTCATTACGTCTCGAGTCGCCGCGTGACACGCATACCACGGAGCACGTGTTTCGTAATATCATTTCCGTCGGGTGATTAAAATATTCTGCCGGTTCCCCTGAAATATTTAATTAGACTCCCAACGTGTATCTCGAGTGTATCGCGAGTGTCAGTGCCATGATGGTGCGGCCAGAATCAGGAAGATAGAATGAAGGATGTAGAATGCCGGGATGCGAGCAACGATACATAATACATTACCAGGTATATCAAGGAATTTATTATTCAGAAGGTTTCCATTTACATGGACGTTTGATGAATTTCTATCGAGAACAAAGAAATACACGAGTCGAAATTTAGATTATCATTCGTCGTTGTTTGGCAAGTAATTATGATTTTATAAATTTTTTATTCATCACGTATAGTCCTTGTATTGTACCCGCACTTGTCACATTATTTTATACAAGAAACATTTATTAAAACAGCCAGATAAACGTGAAAACACGAACTCGTAATTAATCATACTTTCAGTTAAAGATTGTAAATAATTTGCAACTGCGAATGTGCCGTCTTCAGAAACTATTATAAATATTGTAGATCTTTACGTCTAACAATGCTGTTTGAATCGCGATCTTGTTTACGTCCACCAATCTTTTTGCTTCTGTTTATCTTTGTATAGTATACAGGATCCAAATTTAAATTTCCCTATTGATGTACAGTATTACTGAACACGTAACCGCCATATTTGCTTTTACAGTTTTTTCCTTTCCGGCTCTTTCAAGAATTTAAATTCTTAAATTTCCAACGTCGATAAAAAAAATAACGAAAAAATTATAAGAGAAAATATTATTAAAGAATGTTTGTTCTCTTATTTCCTTATATTAATAACTTCATATTTATTTTCGCATACTCTATGTCTGTAGTTAAATAATCGAGAATAAAAATTAAATGCAAGTAGAATAGTATCGAGATAAACAAATGTCAAATAATTCTGCGACAAATCCTCCTTTGAACATCAATATGGAGGAAACGGCGATAAATAACCATTTGCAGCTTCAAAATAAAACAATGGACTGTATGGTTTTGTATCTAGAAATACTTTATTGGTCTTTTAAATTCGACAGAATTCACAAGGCTAATGTAGACCTGAATTGTCGACTCTAGGTGTCTCCCTCTTTTCGGTGGAGCTCCTCGCGGTCATCGGGACCCGATGGATAGGTAGCTTCTTTCCACGAGGAAGCGAAAGGTGGAAGCGGCGGCGGTGGTGGCGGCGGTGCAGCGAAATAACGACGTCTCCGCCGCCGTGACACGAGGGGGATGGCACCGAGCTGGCAATTTCGCGAAATAGCCCCGCGTCAATACACGTGCACGCATCTCGGCTAAACCACACAAAGAATTATTGAGCAGCCCGCTGTTTCCGACGGGCCTCGCGAGCCGGAGGACGCGCAAGTGAGACCGCGGAAGAGAGAGAAAGAGAGCGAGCGAGCGAGCGAGGAAGGAAAGAGAGAGGAAGGGTAGGGAAAGAGGGGGCAGAAGGGTGGAACAGCAAGAGGAAGGAAAGAGAGAGAAAGAGAGAGAGAGAGGGAGGGAGGGAGAGACACCGAGCCTGCTGCAGTTGTAACTTGGACGCGCAAGTAGTATATCGTGGCGCGTGCATTTTTCATTGTCTCGTGTCCCCGCGCTGCGGTGCAGCTCGCAGAATACGCCGCAGAGTGCATATACACGACGTGCCGGTTGACGTGTGCATTGACGAGAAAATTGCGAGCGTCCCTATATATCGCGGTCGCCCACCCTCGGCTACGCTTTCTCTCTCTCTCTCTCTCGTCTCTTAGTCTGCACATTTCTCTGCATATCTGCTTCTCCCTCTCTCTTTCTAGCTTTTTTTTTAGATCGTCATTCTTACGTTGCACTCGGAACGCTTATGCGACTGTCTGTCTGTCTTCCCTCCCTCCCTATTCCTTCGACGCCAATCCGGCATAACGGATTTTCTGGGCGACGCGGCGGAGAGAGTCGAATTTCGTAATAAAAGGAAGAATTGCGCGTCGTAATTAAGAGCGTATTCTAAGTAGAAATCACGACGCTTTCTCTTCTTCAACTCCCTTACGCCGATTCTAAAGATCGAGAGTCCCGAGGAGAAAATCTCCTCCGAAGCGATGCGTGGGATAAGGATAAGCGGTTGCATCGGTCGCGAGGCGGCGTCTCGACGCGCACAGAAACGGCGTCGGCGTCCACGTCATTCAGCAGTCTGCATCTCAATTTGTTTCGACGTGCAGCAGCAGCTCGTGTATAGTCCGGCCAGTTCCTGTATGATGCATGCCGCTAATGGAAATGAGGCCTCTCTCTCTCTCTCTCTCATATTTCTCCTTCGCTCCTTCTCTTCATCCCCCGTTTGCCCCGTTCTCCTTCACTCTATCCGTTCCAACAGAGCATGCATCCGTCTTCGTCATCCTCTTCGTCTTCCCCTTTCTCTCTCCCCCTCCGACGGGAAGACAGCAGCCACCCTGGCCGCGGCACCGAGAGGGTTCGTGAATTAAATATGCCTGCGCTCGTGTGCGATTTTACCCCGCTTGTGAATCTCCCCATCTTTCTCTCTCTCTCTCTCTCTCTCTCTCTCTCTCTCTCCTCCCCTCTCTCACTCGAGCTCTGCTCGAGTTCGTGTTTCGTTGCTTGCCTCTTCAGCATCGCATGCACCCGCTATTAACTGCCTTCAAATTACCGGGCTGACCGCCTTGAATTTTTCACGACCGCCGTCGCGGTCCCAGGCTCTCCTTGATCGCGTTGCGATGCGGTCGGAAGTCCCGGAAGCTGTTAACGGGCTGAGCTCCGAATGGCAGAGCTCAAGTTGTAAATATCGATGCGTCTAATATCGCGAGAGATCCTTCGCGACTATACGACCACGATGCACAATTCTCTTTGATTTATGCATCCGCTTGAGCGTTGTATTTATTTAAGCAGGTCGAGTCACAATTTTGACTTTGCATTAAATCTGCATAATCAATCGAACTTGTAGTACCAATCTCAAGGTATAACGTTATACAAGCCTTTTAGTACGGTTATTTACCGAGATTTTGTCGAGGATTAAAGAAGAACTTAAGTCTCCTGGGGTACTCACATCGTCCATCTCTTTTTAATGACATCAGAAGCGAGAAAATGCATGCTAAAGATTTTTGCGAAA